TTCTTGTTCGTATATTGAGCGTCCTTCATGTCGGCTTATCAGGACCCCCCCGAGAAACGGTGTGCTTCTATATTTAGATATGTATACTTGAAAACAGAATTATCTTGAATGCCATTTTGTGCGCGCGCAGTTTCTATCATACCCGGCGGTGGCTTCTATGCCAACCACAAATTATGTTGCAGGAATACATGGGGACAAAACACAAGTGGATCTCAATTTGGCTATGTACTGTATAAAGGCTCATAATATTTACAGCGGCCGAACGTAAACCATTCCTGCAGTTCAGCCCTTTGTTGTTTCTGCTGTCATTTGCCCCATCATTTTTCGCAGTCGAGCTGGCGGTTGGAACCTGAACACTAATGTCCTGCAATCTGACAAACACAGACACACAAGTATATATACTGATCTGAAGCTTGGTTCGCTGAAAGCAACAGACCACTAGACATCAAAGAGGCCTTCCAGGTTGGAGCGGAGACAATTTGAAAAAAAAAAAAAAAAAAAAAAAATACACTTGATATAGAAAACATGGAAATCTCTCCGGAATGTAAATTCCACTACCAATTAGCTCTTTTTGCAGTAGAAACATATGAAGTTGTTACTGCCATCCTTTTAGGCCATCATTCCATTACCCTTTCCAGAATCCGGGCGTAAGAGAGCGGGCTTTTGTCTGCTCATCTTCCCCTCCTTTATGTATCGTTCCATCTCAGCAGCGGCTTCATAGATTTCACCACGGTCGGCTTTTACCTGGGGTGGGGTGAAAAGAAAAAATCAAATCTCCAAGTTAGTTGCCGTTTCGTTTGTCTTAAGGTGTTTTGCTGTATGGAATTCCATTCCTCTGCGCCGAACATCGACGAGCACTTTTACGGAAGACATAGGAAAGATAGTTAATGCTGGAAGGGGTACTACCTACATCTGCTTCACTAACGCTAGCCAGAGACTCGTGCCACCGTGGATTCCCATCTTTATGATGTTGGTTATGTATTTGCTTGCTGGCTTGGATTGCTTCCTTGACGCCGTCTCGATCTGTTGTTGCCCGTGAGAAAATGAAACCTTAGTCCGCACAACCAATTATGAAAATGTGATCTGTAGGATGAGAGATTGGGCTTACGTCTATCAGACTCCTTCAGAGCACTGAGAGTAGACGACTGGTGGAATCCATGACTAAGACATGGTGAATAAACCCGCAAAGCGCAGACGGGGCGAAGGAAATGAGTGGTCTTTGGGATTGTGAGAAACGACATGTTTGGCGTAGTGTTGATGAAAGACAATGTGTGGTGGTGGTTGGTGAAGTGAAGATGTATGCGCTCCCCAAGAAAAATATCCTTGCCTGTGCCGGTTAGTGTCAAACGGCGAGCGGGAAGGGCGGCAGAGCAAGAACACACAGGATTCAAATAGGCAGTAGCTTCCAATTCGAAAGCAATGTGAGGGGGCGAAAAGGATGGAGATGTGGCGCGCTGATATACAAGTTCCAATCCGTCAGTTTCGAAGCTGTTCCGTTGATCAGCAGCCAGTCCCTTCTGTTACACATATATATGCAGAGAAGTGTGTAGAAATTTCCGCACCTAGGACAGAATAGTAAGCCAAGCGGAATCAATGATATTGACCACTGTAATTGTAATTGTGACGGCATGACGGCTCCATTCTATGGAATTGCGGGGGTTTCTCCTCCTCCAAGACTTGGGCTGCATGGGTCTGCATGGGC